GTATTTGACGTTCAAGTGGTATTTCTTTCGCTCGAGTGGTATCTTTGTATATCAGAACTACTGGGAGGGGGTCATTGTGTGCTTGAGCCATGATTTGGTCACTTGAGTAGTTCTTTGTGTTTGATGCTCGAGTGATATTTTGGTTGTTTGAGCGGTCTGTGCATATATCATTACAGGAAAAAGATATTTTCTTTCACTTTTTGATTTCTCTCTCTCTCTCTCTCTCAAAGATAATTTTATCAGATTTCTTCACTCTCTCTCTAGTTTGTGTCTAAACACCCTTATACACTCAAATCTGTTAGTCTCGTCGCCATAGTGCTTTCGGAAAAAGTGTAGAGCTCGTAGAGGTGAGCATTCTAATCGAAAAAGTTCTAGTTTTTGGCTCCATCAAACTTTGAATTTTATTATTCTCTTCTTCTAATTTTGAGGTAGAGATTTCCTCAATCTCTTTGTATGATTTGTAGCCTTGCTATGTGTTCCTTGAAAGTATAGTGATTTGGGAGTTGTAGGTTTGATTTAGGGCTTATTTTTTGGTTTTTGAAGTATAAAAGGTGGTTTTTCAAATGGGTTCATGTGAAATGTTGTGGAGTATATAGTTGAGTTAGGTCAGTGCTTGCATATGATTAGGTGTTCAAGCCGGTGCCAACTTTGTTGGGATGGGCTTGTAATGCTATGATGCTTGCTGTTTTTTGCTTTTCTTGCTGTTTGCTGTAGCCTTATTGGCACTGGCGAAGGCAACAAGGGACAAGGGGGGTCACGTGCCCCCCCTGAATTTTTTTTTTTTTTTAATTTTGGGAAATTTTTTTTTTTTTTTTTTTTTTTTTTTTTTTTGCAAATATAAAGAAAGAGGGTGATTATTGATTTAATGGTTAAGACTTGGCCTAATAACCTTAAGGTTATGGGTTCAAGTCTTGGGACCACCACTTTATATATTATGTCAAAGGTTAGGTGTTTATTCAATTTTTCTCCTCCCAAACATACATTAATGTCTACTAATTGCGTTATGATTGTTGTTGTTTTTTTGTTGCAAATATAAAGAAAATATTTTAAATAAAAAAATTATAAAAATATTATTAGAGTGAAATGCCAATGACATTTTAAAAATTATGAGGACAATAATAGTTGTTTTGAATGAAAATGAAGACACTATTATAAAGCATATCATTTATGAAAATTTTATGAAATTTTTTGAATGTAACGGTAATGTCATTATTATTGACATACAAATATAACTAATATCACTATAAAGATATGAAATTTATTGCATTGTTAGTTACATCTGACATGCGAGGTTCACTCTCTATGTGTTTATTTACTATTTTGGTGATATCACATACTAATGATGACGTGGTATTACCATTATATTGAATTTTTAATCAAATTTGTATAATTTTTTTTATCATTATATAATTTATTTTAAGACTTATATCCATATTTTTTTATATTGTCCATGATACACTAATTATGAATAACATTATTTTTTTTAATGTTCCTCGAAATCAATCGTTAAAACTTGCGTTAAATATTTTTGTAAAATTTTTCAATAATATAATTAATAAGTGCCCCCTCAAATTTGATTTTCTGGCTCCGCCACTGCTTATTGGCCTCTTTTTTCTTTCTTTCATTAATAAAAGTTCATTTTGCAGATAAATATATATATATATATATAGGTGAGTTAGGTTGAAATCTTGAAAATCTCTCATTTAAATGTGTTTTTGAAAGAAATTGATGTTTTGTTGGAAATCTTAAAATTCATTGATTTGAACTAAGGTAAAAAAGGAAAAGATATTGAGCTTTTGAAATAAAGACGATGTCGTTTTGTGTAAAGCATTCTTTTGCAAGGGAGGTGATGAGGAGGACGTATTGGAAGTCGAACTGGATGAGAAGGACCGGGCCGTAGATGTTGGAGAGCTTGGATAGGGCTCACTGGATCGGTTTTTTCAAGAGGTGCAGGTGACCGAGTAAGGGTAGGGCTTGGTGGGAGGTTTTGAAGCTTCCGAAGGATATGATTGGCCAAGACATAGAATGATAGAAATAGAGAAACATATATGAACAAAGTGGGTTCCATGAATTCCTGAAAAAATGAGATTGGTGTGTAGGAAGAGAAAAGTAATCCTATATGTTATGAAAAACATAATAAGATATAATTTTTCATAATCAATAAGGACAAGGTTTATGTATAAAAGTATCCATGGAAGTTGCGAAGTCTTCGATCTCATGCATTTGATTAGCCCTTCCTAAAACTTAGGGAGATGCTTTATGTATAAAAGTACTCCCAATCTTGAGAAATTATTTGTTGGTACAAGTACAGTTACGTGATGTTTTAAATGTATTTTGATTGGTGAAGAATATAGAATTTATAGTTTTATATTGAGTATTTGGAAAATATGAGAATATATGAAAATTTGTAATTAACCTGGAACATGACCACGTGGTGCTCCAGGATCCATCAATAATTTTTTCACAATCTTAAGCCTCGCTTGGGGACTTAAAATTTTAGTTAAAAGGTCAAAAAGTCATTATAAGTTGTTACATTACTTTCTTTATTTATCTGTACATCTTTTCATAAAAAAATAAAATAAAATAAAAAACTAACTAAAATAATCAATTTCCAAATGAGGTCTTAGTCCCTAATTTTACCCAAGTTATGTTAGGGATTTCAAATAATCTATCTAATTTTTACCAAACCTTTCGCATGGGTGTGAAACATGTACACATGTAAATTTATATCGATTTTACATCCATATAAGAGGTTTTTTAAAAAATTTAATAGATTATTTAAAATTCATAACATTTTTTATTTTATACGAGAGTGAGGTGAACAGAAAAGGCATCTCTCTTTCTCTCTCTTGAGAGCCCTAACAAAACATATACAGAAGGGTTTCGTATAACCAACGCTGACCAATTAGTGAAAAATTATTAGTTGGTCTGGGCGTCAAGTTGCCATATCCCATTGTAATCATGATTTATCATGCCTCTTGTATTTCTCAATTACTCAACATAAATTCGAGAATTTCATTCTTTTTATTAATCATAATATTATTAAAGTATCACGTGACAATACTTTAATACCGACTTATCATTACTATCTTTTGAAATTTTCTAGTCTTCCTATTTCTGAATGTTTCTCTTCTTTTTTTTTTTCTCTTTTCTTTTTTTGGAAATTTGATTATTGAAAAAACAAATCAGATTGTGTTTTGAACCTACCAAAGCATTTTTGGGCAATTTTATTTTTTAATTAGTAGTAGTGGCTTTCTGAGAAAGAGAGCTTTTCGCCCGTGGCAGAAGAAGACAACACAATCAAAGAGAGGAGGGGTTTCAGGTTTTTTTTGCCTTGTTCTCCAACATCTACGTTATCATTTCCACCAGATTCCCGTAATTAGGCGCCACAGTTTGTATATTCTCCGCTAATTATATGTAAAGCGATTTGCAGAGAGATTTGTGAGCTTGAAAAGGAACTGTGGCTAGGCCACTAAATAAATTACTTCATATAATCATAATCTACACCGTCTCCATTTCATGAGTAGTGGCCATGAAGATAGATATTAATAAATTTTGAAATTTAAAATATAAAATAAAATAAAAGATATTTAAAAAATTCTAATAACTTGATCATCATAAACCATTAATTTTGAATTTCAAAAACTTATAACTAGCAACTTTGTTGGAGACGAACCCATGCGTGTGGAATCGTCTCTCTCAAAATGACCGTTGTTGAAACTACTTGCCCCCATGGCCGATCCACCGAAGAGGTTGATCATCTGGCAAGGAGCACTAAGAAAATCAAAGGGGTTGGTATCGAGAATGAGGACGAAGTAATGAGTGATGATCTAAAAGTGTAACAATCTAAGGATCTAGCGGATGAACGTATGGAAGATCCACCCACAACCAAATCGCACGCTGTCGAGGGAGAACAGGACCAAACACAGATGAATGTCTGAGAAGGCCAAAAATCCTTCAAACAAGCCCTCTTTCACTTGCGATTCAATGAAAGTAGCAACGAAAAGAACTTCGATGAAGATGTGGAATTATTTTCTTTAGATGATGAAGAGGAAATGCAAGGCGAGAATACTGAGATAGAACCAGAGGAAATTGAAGTCGAAGGCCTCCCCATAGTTAAAATTATAGTTGGGCTTTAGAGGGCCCCGGAAGAAATGCCTAATTGTTCTTTATTGTTAAATTCGACATGATGGATGATTATACTAAGGTTTATACAGGTGGAGCATGGGTGGTTATGGATCATTGTGTGACCGTTAGAAAATGGCAACACGATTTCAAATCCGATGCTGCAGAGGAGGACATTACAGCTATATGGGTCAGATTCCCAACTTTGCCAATCAAATACTACAATGAAAAAGTGTTATTCCACATTGCTAATGTTCTGGGAAGGCCGTTGAAGGTGGACATCAACATAGCAATGGCAACATGAGGCAAATATGCCCGAGTGTGTATAGAAATGGATCTGCGCAAACCTCTTGTCTCGCAATTCTTACTAGGTAAACATAAATATCTCATTGAATATGAACACTTGCACTTAGTTTATTTATCTTGTGGTAGGATTGGCCATTGGAGAGAGATCTACACCGACTGTCTACCGAAGAAGATTCAATAGAGAATCGTTAAAGGTTAGAGAAGCTAGATTGGGCCCCAAGAGATTCAAGACCCGACCAGGCCAAGCCCATCAAAGGTACATCCGACTATGATGTTTGGAAATAGCAATGATGACAATGGACCCAATTTTGGACCATGATGATAGCCTAAAACAGGAAAAAACAAGGACGAAAGGCCAAGGCCTCAAGAGACCCCTTTCCAACAAGCAAGGAAACAAATTTGAAGCCTTTCAATATATCCAAGCAGACCAGCACGAAGACCAGTAAACAGCCCAAATGGATCCGAGCCCACAGCCCAGCATTGAAACAAGCTTCAAATATAAACAAAAGGTTCCAAATAGAAAAGAAAAAATTACACATCATATCCCTAGAGTAGATCTTGATAAAGATAAGATGAAGGAAATCATCAGAGAAGGCCAAAAAGTAGCCAACGAGGTTACAACACACAGAGGGGTGTCAAGTCATTCTATCATTGATATAACCACACAAGGCCAGAGCACCATTTATACTGAAGAGATGGTCATCTTGAACCCATTCCCTGACGCAACAAAACTGAAAACTATTAGAGAACCACCAGACAAAGCTAAACCCAAAGATGAAAGTAGAACATAACCGAACTGAGTCAACAGAGACAGCAAAACTTTTGAAGAACACAACCATTCACAGAGCTTCGGAGAACAGAGTGATGCTATGCCTAGAACCAAGGAAAGAAGCCTCTCACCTCGTCAGTGTAGACTGGAGGATAGAGGAGGTGAGGTTAAAGATATAGCCATGGTGGCAGTTCGAAGCCAGCCAGAGTCGGCACCTAGTGATCGTGAAATCGAAGTTATCCATGGAATAAAACAATCTCAGAGTTAGGAATATTCTGGGTGCACCAACAAATTCCGAAATTCCAAACATAGCTCGAATGCCTGTCATAGATATGTTATTTTGGAACTGTCGAGGGGCGGAAAACAACAAGTTTAGACGAACTCTGAAGGAATTGGTCTCTACGCATAAACTAGATCTCCTAGTCCTGATGGAAACAAAGGTGGAATTAAGCTAAATGGGCATGTTCTTCAACAGCCTTGGTTACACCGCGTCTTCACATGTGGACCCTATCAGAAGAAGTTGAGGGATTTAGATGCTATGGAACACAAATCACATTAATGTCAGAATCTCTGAAGCTAACTCCCAGATGATCCTTGTTACTATTTCCAAACAAAACTATCCAGAATGGATGCTGGCTGCGGTGTATGCTAGCCCCAATCCCAGAACCAGAGATGAACTCTGGGACAGTCTGGAAACCATCGCACAAAATAATCAGTTGCCATGGCTATTAGTTGGAGATTTCAATGACCATGCTAGTCTTAAGGAAAAGAGAAGTTTCTCTACTAATCAAAACCTGAGCCACAGTCTTAGTTGTAGTAGGAAGTTTGTGAACCATATCAACAGCTGTAACTTTATTGATCTAGGTTGCACAGGCCCCAGTCTCACTTGGTCGAATAATAGACAAGGTTGGGCCAAAACCCTTATTCGTCTTGATCAAGCCCTTTGCAATGCAGAATGGAGGACCCGATTCCCTAAAGGCTTTGTCCGCAACTTTCCCAGAACTTACTCCGATCACTCTCCTATGCTTGTTTGCACCCAAGGTAAGACTCCTCATACCCCTTCTACTAGACAATTTAAATTTGAAGCTGCTTGGATTATTCATAAGGGTTTCAGAGGTTTTGTTCACTCTAATTGGAATCATTCGCCTTCTAACCTTCTTGTCAATTTACACAACATGGCCTCTGCTGCTTTGGATTGGAATAAAAATGTCTTTGGTAATATTTTCAGAAATAAAAGATGGCTTCTTGGTCGTATTGAAGGGATTCAAAAATCCCAAGCTAGAATGCACAATCACAACCTCTAAGTTCTGGAAAAGGACTTGGTTAACCAGTATAATAAAATCCTCTACCAAGAGGAGCTGCTCTTGTTTTAAAAATCTTGATCCACCTGGATCACTCAAGGGGACCGTAACACTAAAATTTTTCATCTTATCACTTTGATCAAGAGAAGAAGACTAAAAATTGATGTTCTTAAAAATGAGAATGATGTTTGGATTGATGATCCTAATGAGCTAAAAAATATAGTCCTTTATTTTTTCAAAAATTTGTTTGCTAATCCTATAGCTAACTCTCTTGCCCACTGGTGTAATAAAGCTGTTTTTAAGCTTTTTAAGGAGGATAATAAAGTCTTGAATAGGGTCATTATTGATACGAAGATCAAGAAGGCTATGAATAACATCAAAGCCTGCAAAGTTCCTGGGAGGGATGACTTCTAGGCTATTTTTTACCATAAGTATTGGGATATAGTTGGTGCTGATGTTTGCTCCTTTGTTAACTCGTGCGTTGCTACCCACTTTATCCCTGAGGAGATCAATAGAACCCTGATTGCTCTTATTCCTAAAGTTAGTAGCCCTGAAAGAGTGAAACAATTCAGACATATCAACCTCTGTAATGTGACCTACAAAGTCATCACAAAACTCTTAGTGGACAGGCTTAGACCTTTCCTGGATAATATTGTGAGACCTAATCAAAGCAGTTTTATCCTTAGTAGAAATACCAGTGATAACATTATCATCATCAAAGAAGCTATTCACACTATGCATCATTTGAAAGGTAAATCTGGTAGTATAGTTATGAAAATTGACCTGAAGAAAGCTTATGACAATATATCTTAACATTTTCTTAGAGAAACTCTACATGAGTTTAATTTTAATACATAGTGGATTGATCTTATTATGTGTTGTGTCATAATTGTGCAATCTTCCATTTTGTGGAATGGAGAAGCTTTGGAGGAGTTTAGACTTATGAAGGGCCTAAGACAAGGGGACCCATTATCCCCCTATCTGTTTGTGCTTTGCATGGAAATATTATCTAACATGATTAGCCATTTGGCTTATAGGAAAAGCTGGAAGGGTGTTTCAATTACTAAGAGTGGCCCTTGCCTTACTCACCTATTTTTTGTTGATGATCACATCCTGTTTGCCAACGCTGACCCCAGGCATGGTGATTTGATTGCTACAGTTATGGAAGAGTTTAGCTTTATCTCTGGTCTTCAAATCAACTTTCAAAAATCAAAACTTTTTTGTGTCACCTAACATTGACCGTAGGAAGGTTAGGGAGTTGAGCAGCCTCTGTAATATCCCTCTTACAACTGATCTTGGGAAATACCTGGGTGTTCCTATTTTACACTAGAGAGCTAATCGTAGTCACTTCAATTTTATTCTCGAAAAAATCCAAAGCAAGTGTAGACTCAACTTTCTTCGTGCGCCCCTTTTTGGAGAGGCGCGAATTGGTCCTATAGTTCAGACTCCTGTCACGGTTCTGAATCTAATCTCACAAAGTGCAATGTGAAACTGATAAACACCAAAGAGTCCAATCCGGAAAATCATTTTGGAAAATCAGATTTTGAATCAAATAATGTCAAAACTGGACTACTTTGCCAGATTAAAGAGTCGCCATCTAAATATTTTATTTTTGAAAAATTTAGGAAACCCTGACTCATGCCAAAGGCCAAGTGTCCGTCATCACCAAAGTTGCCTTGGCTCGGGAACTTGGGTACGAGAGGGGAAGGTCCTGAAATGAGCACCCTCGCTCGCCCGATCAAAGGATCGGCCTCTACTAAGCATGATATGTTGTTTTATAAACACATGTATTCTTATTCCGATTATTAGCTAACATTACTATGTGGCGCGCATGCATACAAGTATAGACTAAGTCGCGAGACTTGGAACAAATCAATTCATGTTTGTTTTCGAAAATGGTTTGAAAATGCCACCCTTAAGTAGGCTAAAGCGCGGATTTGCTACCCTCAAGTGGGCTTAAAACATGATTTGCCACTTCGCAAAGTGGGCTTAAAACTCACATTTATCGAATTGTTCCAATTCAAGCAATCAAGCCTTCATCCACAGGCATTCATGCAGTTAATCACTTAAGCACATAGCCTCATGGCAAGCATGCTATCATGGCAACACTCACACTCATGCAAGTATGATAAAGCGTAAAACATACAGTGTACTCCAAGCCAAAACAAAAGCTAGTTAGAAATCATGCATGATCCTAACTATACAAGATGCCTAATGCAACACATGCAATAATGCGAATAATAGGCTCGGCTACCTAAGATGGCATATGAATGCAACAATTTGATACACGTATTCAAATAAGTATTGAATGTATTCAAATAAGTATTGAAATACAATACAGTTTGAATGATGCGCCGAGCCCAGTGCATGCAAGACAAATGAATGATGCACGCATGCGAGTACAAGGTATGTTAACTGAAAATGTCCCTAATCTCACCATCGAAAACAGTTAAATAAAAGGGAGAAAGACGTGGGGTTGGAAGACATGTACACGCACACACACACACGCACACTTATTACAACATTGCGCGCTCACGAAGGAGAGTCCGAATAAATAAGAACTAAGCTACACTAAGCTAAGCTAATTATTACAAAATAACTAATTAACTATTCTAGCTAATTAATTACAATACAATTGAATAACTAGCTACACTAAGTTAATTAAAATATTACAAAACGAATTGAACTAATTAATTACAACACATGTAATGATTAGCTACAACTAGCTAATAAAGCAATAAAGTGGCCTTGCGGGCGAAGGAGACATGCATGCTCGTTCGGTTTCCTCCCGAAAATCCATTTCCTTGCCATCGGCTGCCTCTGTTTACAGTCATCTTGATCTCTGAATACTGAACCAACTTCCAGACTGCCTCTGCTTCAAAACAAGAACATTCTTGTACAAAAATGGACTGGTGGCCGGTCGGCCACAGAAGGTGGCTGTCGGCCACCTAAACTAGTCAATCGGCTAGTATAAGTGGCTGGTTGGTTACTTTATATGGTCGGTCAGCCACTGCTTTTTCCAGGCTTCTATTTTTGCTGCAATAGAGAGCAACAGAGGCAAAACAATGTATTTTGCAAGAAATGTGTGTACTGCCACCTCCTTATCATTTCTCAAGCTCAAAGGAGTATGGCACTTGGCTCTCAAGCCACTAATCAAGCATTTTCATGCATGATGGACAAAGAACCAAGCTTGTACAAGCTCAATGAATGCACAAATAAGACCCAAAGGGCCACCACCCTATCATGCATGATCAAGGGTGACGACGACCAAGAAATGTGCCGCGTTTCATCACTTTGAGTATGAAACGTCCCACATTTCTTGTTTTTGGATTAACGTCCGATCCAAACACATGCAATGCAAACACAATATGCTTATCTTGGTTACGTTTTACTTGATTCAATTTTGTTTACTTATTTTAGCATTACCAAGTCATTCTTTAATTGGTTAAGTCTAAGATGAGTGTCCTCTAATGAGAGGAGTGTCAACCAAAGGATGGTTTAAGACATGAGAGAGATCATGCCTTTGGCTAGGAGGAACCCTCAAAAGAGAGTTAAAGCCATTGAGCACAAGCTCTATCTCAAGCTTAAACATAACCATAAGGTTAACCAACCCTCAAAACAAATGGAAAAATAAAAAAATGAGGGAAGTTGCAGACTTTTTAGTGCTGAAATGGCATGCAAAAGACACTAAATCATGGAAACAACACATGCACAACATGTTAAAAACCAAAATCATCAAAACTAGTGAAGAGCACTACGCTAGAGGCATGCAATATGAAGCTTAAATGACCAAACTAGCTCTGGACAAAGCTTGAACATGCCAAATCAGTAGCCAAAACATGCTAGCATTAAAACATAAGAGGCAAGAAAAACATGCGCACATGATAGCTCGCAAACAAGGCTCAAAGCAAAACTCTCAAAAGCAATGAAAGAGTGAAATAAGTGAGAGTGTGATAGATTTATATGCACTGAAATTACATGCAAAATGATGCTATAGCATGCAAACAACTCATGCAAGACATGCTAGAGGCCTTAAAACACAATGCTAGTGAAGCCATTTACACTATAGCTATACAAAACATGGCTCATATGATCAAAGCAACTCAAAACAGAGCTAAATCATGTCAAATCAGTAGCTAAAACATGCCTGAATTAAGCTACACAAGGGTAGAAAAACATGCTCACATGTTAGGCCATCAACACTTGCAAACAAAACACAAGGAAGTGAGGCTACCCCCTCCTATTTTGGACCTCAAAACCAAGTTTTTGCCACTGAAATTCCCCTGAAATTCAGTGGTTAAAAGGGCAAAAAAGGTTGTTTTGAAAGCTTTGAAACATGGCACAACACTTAGCAAACAAGCTACAAAAGATGGTGGACCACCCCTAACTCCAAAACAAACTTCAAACCATTATTTTAACCATAAAAATAGAGTTTTTTAGAAGTTAAAACCAGTCTAAAACTAGCATGCAAAGATGGCCAAACAAGCAACTAAAACAAAGCTTTAAAGAGGTAAGCTTAATACCCTTAAAGCACACCAACAAACAGCAGAATTTCTGAGCTCAAACCACTCTTAAAAGCTCAAACAGGGCCTCAAAGAACCTCAACTCCAAGGTGAAGGTGTTTGATCAAGGGTCTTAGTGTAAATGTGTAAAGAAAACTCACTTTCAAGCACAAAATATAGAGAGAGAGAGTAAATTCTAGAGAGAGAGGGATAAATTTTGCTCACAAAATTTTGTAAC